TAGTTTTTTATTACTATAATAGTCAGAAATAGGGGTATTATGTGTTATTTGGGGTTTTGGAAGTAAAGAAGCATTTGAGATCGATTACAAGTAGAAAGTGATATTCTAGGTAGATGATAAATATCAGTATTTTTATTAAATATTATAGGTAGAAAATGATATTATAGGTTATATAAATGTGTCGATACTTAGAGTATTGAGTGTTCCATCCGTTTGAAGGAAATAGGGTTTATGGTTTAGTTTGAGGATTTCGAATCGAAGCCAAACAGGATTTGAGACCGATTATATAATATTATAGGTAGAAAATAAATATGAATACATGTATATATTATAGGTAGAAAATGATACTGTAGGTGTATAAATATGTCGTACTTATAGTGGCCATTCAAATTCTTTTGAAGGAAACCGTTTACTATAAGAGTAGTTATCGATATTTGCATTTAATAAAGTGTATGTAACCAGTATTGATTTTGATTGCGTAAACTGATATATAAAAGAAAAATGAAGTCACGGATCTTGAATTGTTGGTGGCGAAGATACTTTGAAATGAGGCCGATAGTCGAAGTAACCAAAGGTATAGTAATTCTAGTAAGTCAATGTATTTTTGTTATATTGTTGAAATTAATTGGATTAAAGTATTTAAGAACTTTAAATTTATAACAATTTTAAATGTTGACATGACCGAATGCCAAAGGATGAAGGAAGCTGACAATCATCTGTTCGTATGTAAAATGAAATTGACATGAGTATTATTTAGCTTAATGTATTGATTAGAAACATTTATGCTTAATATTAGGTGAAAAATGTGTTGGAGAATGAAAGTCGATGAGTGATGCTGAGAAGAACCTTCACACATCAAAGATGGATAGTGAAGAATACAAAGCTTGGAGGAAAACACATGAAAAAAATTCATTAAACTTGTAAATATTGATACAATATATAAGAACAATAACATATTGTTAAAAAATGTAGGAAGTGTAAGAGATCGTCCAATTCGGAGGGAATTGTGTCGATCCTTGATGGAGCAATTCGATGTCCAACAATGTATTGCTAAATATGGTGATTATTCATTTCCTTTGGGAGTCCCATGTGCTGCAACATTCTTGGGGGTAGAAAATGAAGGCAAAAGTATTGTAGAAGTCACAAAGAGTAAGAACTGGAAAGCACTTGCCTCCTAATATGATTTGAAGCACAAGGTGACATATGTTGAACTTGAAGAAGAAATTAAAAGTGGATCTTACGGGTGATACATCAACGCGCAAGGACAATATGAAGCTGATTTGCGATGAAGGCTTGAAAGGTGAATTCAGTTGGGCTGAATATGTCCATTCGAGATTGATTGAATCAATAATCAACTTTCAAAAGGGCAGTCAGAGATACCTTAAAGGGTGCATAGCAATCTTAGAGGTAAATGAGTTGAAGAACGTTTTTGTTTTTTTATATAAAATGCTAGTATAATTATTATATAAAATGATAAATTTTATTATAAATGTAGTTTGCACTGTTCGATTTTTGTTCGGGCTGTAATAATGTGCTGACATATGAAAGAAACAGGGTGGCACACATCCGTGCATGGGGGAAGGAAGATGTGATTAGAGTAATGTCAAAGTTGAAGTTGGATAGACCGAGGAAGCAAGAAAGTGTAATAAAAGTAATTACATAATATTAAGAATAAAATCAATGTATTAATATTGTAATTTAATTTTGAAGGTTATTAGAAAGGAGGTAGAGGCGACTGAGGAGGAAGTGGAGGCAATGGAGGAAGAGGAGAAGGAAGAAGAGATGGTAGTAGGGGGATGACGGTGAGGGAAAACAAAGTAAATTTGATATTTTGATGTCTGAATTGGCGGATGTAAAAAAATTCCTTTTTGATATTTCGCAAACACAATCAAGAGTCGAAAAGGCAATTAAGAGGCTTAAAGGGGAAGTGAGTGGAAAAATAGATGGAGTGGTGAAAGAAGTTGTGGAGCTGAGGGGTGAAGTTAAGATGGTGATGGGTGGAAAAATTGATGGAGTGGTGAAGGAAATTGTGGATTTGAGGGGTGAAAGGAGTGGTTGAGAAAAACTTGGATGAAAGAGAAAAATGAAGGGTGAAATAAAAGAGATGAAGAGATATGTAGATGAAAATACGATAAATTGAAAAATTATGAAGAAGTAAAGATGGAGGAAGAAGAAAAGATGGAGGAAGTTAGGAGTAAGGATATAGATGTGATTTATACACTGGAGAGTGTTAACAAATCAAATGATTAACCGGTTATGTTATCGTGGGATTCCTAATGGCTCAATCAGTTTAAATTTTGTTAACATTTATTCCTAAGGTAAGTTTATCATAACTGATAACAAATTAAGTAAGTAATTACCTATTTTGTTATCTTCGGATTTCTAAGGCCCCATCAGATTTAATAATGCGCAACCTATTACGTTATATAAGCTCTACCTAATATGTTATTATGCTTGATAATGTTTCCAGTAATTAACTGGTTATGTTATCCTTGGTAACAATTTTAGGCGTTTACCTAATATGTTGTAATAACAAATTAAGTAATTAACCTATTTTATATATAAGCGCTACCTATTACGTTATATAAGCGCTACCTAATATGTTATTGTGCTTGATAATGTTTCTAGTAAATAACCGGTTATGTTATCCTTGATAACATTTTAGGCGTTCACCTAATATGTTGTAATAACAAATTAAGTAATTAACCTATTTTATTATATAAGCGCTACCTATTACGTTATATAAGCGTTACCTAATATGTTATTGTGCTTGATAATGTTTCGAGTAATTAACTGGTTTTGTTATCCTTGGTAACATTTTAGGTGTTTACCTAATATGTTGTAATAACAAATTAAGTAATTAACCTATTTTATTATATAAGCGCTACCTATTACATTATTTAAGCGCTGCCTAATATGTTATTGTATTTAATAATATTTTTAATTAAATGATATAACATAACCGATCTACATTTTAACCGATCACTTATTTAACCAGTCAAATTTTTTAACCGCCGCACAACGTATATTCCCTATAAAAAGACAACTATTTTGGTGAGCACAAAAACACTGAGCATATTTTTTTTTTTCAATTTCTCTCTCCGCGAGTGACACGTCAGACCAGGTTAGATTTGGCTCACATTTTGGCAATATTGAGTTCCTACATTTTATTATATTGTAATAATATTTAGGGTAAATTACACTTTAATGCCTAAACTTTCAATTTTTTAAAACTATACTTAACGTTTAGTTTTCATTTCATTTTAGTACCCTGTTAAAAAGTTCACATGTTTAATATCTAAGCTATCAGTTTTGGTCCGTTTTAATATTTAGACTTTCAATTTTCACAACTTTACGTTAAATCTTGAACAAGAGTACTAAAATGAAATAAAAATCAAAGTTTGTAAATGTATACTAAAACGAAACAAAAACTAAGCTTTAAGTATTTAATTTTTTTTTGAAAGTTTAGGTTCTAAAACAGACCAAAACTAATAGTTTAGATATTAACCATATATTTTACCCTACTATTCAATACTCCATTTTTTATATAACATTTAAATTATGAGTAGAGTACATAGATGATCCTTGATTATATGATAATGCTTTATTGAATCCCTTAACTATTAAAAGTAACAATATAGCCCCCAACTATAGGAAGTTATTTTTCAATCCATTGACTACTAAAAGTTACAAAATAGTCACCCGACTATTAAATATTTTCCAAACTATTCCTTTTCGGTTAAAATTTTTATGGCATTTTAAGTTATCCTATTGACTAATATATGATAAATCTTATCTCATAATCTCAAATGACTATCATATCTTACTCAACATGTTAACTTCTAACTCAGACAATCATTAAATTTCTAACAAAAAATGACGAGTTTGGAACATAATGAATAGTCGAGTGATCATTTTATAACTTTTAATAGTTAAGAAACTCAACAAAACAACTTCCCATTGTTGAGTAGTTATTTTGTAACTTTTAATAGTCGAGAAACTTAACAAAGTAATTCCTATTATCGGGGACCATTTATGACTTTAATCTTAAATATTCACAACATTCTAAACTCTTACATCGAAATTTAAACACACAATCTCTCTCGGATGATTCAAAGACTTGAGAAATTGTCATATTGAGTTCCTACATTTTATTATATTGAAATAATATTTACGGTAAATTATGCATATACTTAAATTATTAATTTTAGTCTATTTTAGTACTTAAATTTTTAATTTTTTTGAATCATATTTAATATTTAGTTTTTCATTTCATTTTAATACCCGTCTTTAAAAACCTAACACGTTTAGTACCTAAGCATTAGGTATTTTGAACGGCGGATACTAAAACAAAACAAAAACTCAACTTTAGGTATTTTAAAAAATTAAAAGTTTAAGTATTAAAATGAACCAAAATTAATGTTTAAGTTCTAAACACATAATTTACCCTATTATTTAATGCTTCAGTTTTTATATATCATTTAAATTATTCACAACATTCTAAACTCTTACATCGAAATTTAAACACACAATCTCTCTTGGATGATTCAAAGATTTAAGAAATTGTGTGTATGCTCAACTCAATACCATTAACATTGAAAAAAAGCTCCACAAAGTTATGAAGCATATATGGAAGTTTTTCAATTTATCATCAACATGCAAATCAAATTCCATAACCGAAATGTTTATCGGATCAAAACAAAACAAAATGCGTACGAAATCCATACATAATGACAACGGGATTTGGGGTCTAGCCGTGCAAGCGATGTCCCCTGTAGTTACCGAGCTTTCCCGTATTTGCCGCTGTCTTGTTCCTCTGTTGCAAAACCATTATCGATTTCACTTTCCATTCACAGTCAACCCATTTTCGTTTACTTTTTAGCTGTAATCTTTCTCCCATCCAAACCCCATTTTCCTCCTTTCTTTAAAGCTCCTTACTTTTTCCCTTTTTTCCCCTTTGATTCGATTCCGTGAGTGAAGAAAAAAGTTTTTTTTTGGTGGTTTCGATACTTCCGATGGATGCTTTGATTCTTGGATCCTCTACTGGAGGACATTCTTTTTTCATACCTGGTCCGTCTCTTTTGTTTTTGTTTTTGCTAATTATATTATTATTATTATTTTTGGGTTAATTTGTTTATTTTTATTTTTTTTTACTCATGGAATCGATACAAATTAGGAAGGAGTAGCTGGAGGAGAAAAGACTTGAAGCCTGATAAATTTCCAGGTGTTTTTCTGCTTTGTTTTGTCCAAATTTATAATCTTTCGCATGATTTGGGTTATGGTTTGTTTTAGCATATTTCTATTTTGAGAGAAAAAATTAGAAATTGTTTCGCTGCTTGAAGTTCAAGGTTTTCATACTTATTTAGTATAAAAAAAATGAAAAATCTTGTTCCTTTGTTTTTAAAGCAATTGGTTTTATAGCAAAGGAGAAATTAAGGCCGAAGCAAATGCATAGAGTAAAAGGTAAATATATTTTTAAAAGAAGAAAAAAATTAAGAAAGAATCAACTGAAGCCCAACTTTTTTTTAAGGACTTCAAATTGTTTATTGGTGAAGGTTCTACTTAGATTTAAGAAAATAAAATTGAAGTCAAAATCTAGCAATGGTTATTGATTGATCTCCATGTATTTACGAAACGATAGTTGAATATTTTAGCTGGAGATTGGTATATGTTACGAAATCGGAAAGATGACGACAAGCAAACAAATGAGATGACAAAGCAAGAATCCACAGATTTACGTGAAAAATCCTAAACGAGATAAATCACAGTTAGAAGGAAAGAAAACCACTATCTGCATGTTATTAATAATTTCAATCCCTCGGTTGCAGGTTTTTCCAGACGAGTGCAAGTGTCGACATGCAATTCGAATAATATCATAGAAAATTTTTATACTAAAAGGTTTCAGCAACATATTGTCAAGCATCATGCTAGAGGTATTCAGGAAACATTTACAGCCTCCCAGAAAAGTAATACAAAGTTTCTGGTGAAGGCCACTTCTGGTCACCCTTTTGAATCAGAGCCTGGAGCTTGCCCCAAAACCCCTTGGAATTTTGTTAAAAATGCATTGGATGCTTTTTACAGGTTTTCACGGCCTCACACGGTTATAGGAACAGTTAAGTTTTTGGTTTCATTATCGATACATGGAAATTATATTGGGATTTGAAACCTTTCAGACTTTCAGTAATATTGGTGTTGTAAAATGTAAATTCATTTTCATTTTTTTTGTATTTGCTTTTTTATTTTGGAGCTCATTTTCTTTCTCTTTTCAGGCACTCAGCATCGTTTCTGTTTCTCTTCTTGCTGTTGAGAAGTTATCGGATATTTCTTCCCCGCTTTATACTGGGGTATTGGAGGTGATCATGCTGAACATCTGTATCATTTTTACAAATTTATTAGTAAATTAGTAGTTATAATACTTACATATCTATTATAAATTTTTTCAGGCTGTGGCTGCTGCCCTTATGATGAATATTTATATTGTTGGTCTAAATCAGTTGTCCGACGTAGAGATTGACAAGGTAGCTTGATATGAAAATACAACTACTAGAAGTTCATGTATTTAAAATATGAACGAAAGAATTTGCATTATATCTTGCTGAAATCTTCTTTCTCTATTGTTTGAATCTACTCTTGTCAATATTGATCTGATCAAGTAATCTAGATGCCTTCTTATTCCTTGCAGTTTCCTGCATCCTTGTTTGTGTTTGGTTCTATTGAAAATTCCTGCATTTGCACCTTTTTAGGCATATCATGCAGTAACTTCCATTCCGTTTTCTACAAACGACTTAAGTACATAATTTACTTGGATCATGATCCCAGAAATGAGAGTGGATGGATAAATTATATGAATTTTGTAACCCCAGATATTTCTGTTGCAGGTTAACAAGCCTTATCTTCCATTAGCATCGGGGGAGTATTCAACTTTGACTGGCATCTTGATTGTCACATCATTCTCCATCATGGTATTCACAATCTGTTCTATGCCAAAGTTTTCTTGTCGTATTCCTTTATCTTCTGTGTTGAATATATCTTTGCATGATGAGAAGTATTGTGCAGTCAGCAGTGTAAGGAAAAATCATATTGTCCTCATGGAAAGTGAAATATTTTTTTCTTAAATACATTTGAAGAAAATCGAAGGGGGTACTGTCAATTGAAATGAATAAGACTTTAATGTCTAGAAGTGCAAGTACCTGCATTTCGGTGATTATATACACATTAGGTATCCATTTTGAACTGTTTATATGTGGATTGGAAAAAAAGAATAAAAGGGACAATAATTGGACATAGCTCGAAAGGGAAAGCTTGTTCAATTGGAAAATGGAGGGACTATTGACAACTACTACATCATTTATAGAATTACTTGGTCCTTATACCAATAATCCAACTTTTTAGTTATTTATTTTTAATGTTTAACCCGACCAGTTTGGATTCACAACTAAGAGCTTGTTATATATCCTTTATTTTCAGAGCTTTTGGCTTGGATGGGTTGTTGGTTCATGGCCATTATTTTGGGCTCTTTTCGTCAGTTTTGTGCTTGGGACTGCATATTCAATCAATGTGAGTTGAACTTTGAGTTCTCAATCAAATAGATACATGAAGCAATAATTATATATACATCATGGTAGTGTGCGTATAGTTTGTTCTTGAACCTCTTTGTTTCAAATTCTTTTGCAAGTAGCCGCACAACACGCTTCTCAGGATTGCTAGATAAGGCATATTTCTATTATGAGTACAATACTTTGTGAACAATTTTATATTCAGAGTAGGGATGGAAATGAATAGGTGTGGAAGTTTTAGGCTTCCCTGTGCCATAGTTGCTTTGCTTTGTCCTACATAGGTCACTATTCCTCTGCGCCACCTCTGCTCCAAAAAATCGATCCATAAGTTTCCTTGAACTAGGGGAATAAGAAATAAATTGCATTAACAAAGATAAAAGAATTGTCCTCCTAACAAAACTAATATTAGCATAGTTCTTAACTTTGCCTAGAGAAAAAGATTTTCAAGTAAAACCCTATACAGCTGTTATAGCAAGTCGCAAAATTTATTGCAACGGTCTGACTTAAGGATATTTAACTGCATTTTTTTTTATTTTAAGTTTTTATGATACAATAAACTTTCTGTGAATTCAGTTGCCACTATTGCGATGGAAAAGGTTTGCATTGGTTGCAGCAATGTGCATCCTAGCTGTTCGTGCCGTGATTGTTCAACTTGCTTTTTATCTGCACATACAGGTGGCCTTTTCTCTTCTTTTTGCTTCTTTATTTTTCAATTTTTCCTGCAGAAATCTTTCTGAAACATTGACGTTTCAAACCTCTTAGCAGTCTGATCAATTAAAGTCCTTTAATATTTTGTGTGATGTTTTAGACCCATGTATTCAGCAGACCAATCATCTTTTCGAAGCCTCTAATTTTTGCTACTGCATTCATGAGCTTCTTCTCCGTAGTTATAGCACTTTCCAAGGTAAATGTTGCTTTCTATACTAATGAATTGATGTATCTTCTCATGTGCATTTGATTTTTGTCGAGCCATTCATTTAATAGTTCATGATCAAAGTGGTAACCGCCGTTCTATTTTTGCGATGGATATTGTGCAGGATATACCTGATATCGAAGGAGATAAGATATTTGGAATCAAATCTTACACAGTACGTCTGGGCCAAGACCGGGTGAGTTAAAATGCATGAACATTTCGTGCACAATGGCTCTCCCATTTAAAGTTTTTATTATTCTTTGACCGTCTTACTTTTACTTAGGTGTTTGGACCGTATTCACTTCTTGAAATGGCATATGGTGTTTCGCAAAGCTGCAATAACATCATGTTATAGGTTTATATGGAAGGTAATCCTCTATCTTGGTTTATGACAACATTTTTTCTCTAAAAGATTGTGTGCTTTAATATTTACATTAGCATGGCATATATGACCAACCTCATCAAATGAACGATATCGGATTCATATGATGGAATGCGAGTTTTGATTTTTCCATTTGCTTGTCTTGGAAAAGTAATCTTTATGTTAATGATTTTGTTGGTCTTAACTAGTGATGGGTTGGTTTCGGGGCATCTAGCTTCAACATCTGTGTTAATCACGTTTAAACGACCTGTGTCGTATGCTTATTAAGCACGCCATATTTGTGTTCTATTTTCTATCACGTCCAAAGTTATGAGCTCTAGCGGCTTGATCGAGACTTTCAAATGTATACCGAGTTCTTCGATGTGCTGTTCATTGAATAAAAATGCTTGAAACTTTTGTTCGTTTTTTAATAACTAATTGCTTTCTCATTGCCAGCTCTTTTATGCGGAGTACCTTCTGATACCACTTATAAGGTGAGTGGTGGAGCATTTTACATAACTCTAAAGATGGTTTCATCCACAAGGATCAAAAGATGCTGTCGGGTCGAAGATATAAAAAAAATGAATAATCCGAGAACATTTGTCTGCGGAAATTGTAGATTTAGACGTACCGAGTAACGCCTATAAACAACTCCTTGGCATGGTATTGTTTGGGGGGGGGGTGAAGAGTGACTCTTTTTCTCCCCCACGAACATTGCTATCTTCAATATAAGGTGATTGTTGCTAGGCCAGTGTGATTGACAATCTTGTTCCTAATGAAGGTTAAAAGGAGCTAAGACTGGGTCTTAATTCATGACTCGAATCGAAAAAAAAATTAAATGTTAAAATGATATTCGTAAACTCAATTAGCCCAATTTTTTTTTTCACTTGGTTCAATCAAATAATTCATCTCTAATGCTAACCAAGTTAATACATGTACTCATTATAAGAGTAACCATGCTAACTAAATAAATTTATTTGTAGTATTGGATGTAATTTGGATCTAAAACCTGATTGAGGATTGAAAACAGCAACACCAATGATAGAAATAATCCTTTAACTTATTAAAATTTATCACTATTGTATAACATATAGTGATAATTTTATAACATTTTCTTAAGTTTAATGATTATTTTATAAATTTTAAAACAGCAACGATTAAAAATATATGTAAAAATGATTTAATATCTATTTTGATACTTTACCCTAATTATTTTTCTCGAAATTCAAGGAAAACAGAGTTAAATCATTTTTATTTTTGACAGAAGTCTAGTGATGAGTTTGAAGATGATTTTGTAAAAAGAGAAATGGTACAGAGAAAGTAATAGTAGGCACTAGGCATGGTTGGTCTCGGCACCAGTTAAAAACCCTTTAAAACATAAACATATACTAATTGAACTTCTTGGAGACATTAAGAAATTAGTGATGGCAACATAATATAAATATATATGGTATAGGCTTCCTCAGATACGTCAATCGCTACTCCTCGGTGACGGCTTCCGTTCCGCTTCTTTAAGGATTCCCTTTCAGTCATCGCTGGCTCATGGTTTACCGGCATTATATTCCGATGACTGTCCGTCGTGAGCTAAATAACTTCGGGATTTGCCCGTATGGTTGTTATTGTTAACGTTTAGTCGAAGCTTGCGTTCCAAGCGAACCCTTGGGCTGATAAGACCAGCGCCATGTAAATAACTCATTTATACATTTAGGATGCATCACAATATATATATATATCCGGATACAAAGAGATATATATATTGAATATAAAGGAAATAAACTAAACTAACAGCCTAGGCAGCCGCGAGCATCCAAGCGAACCAGTTCTTTTACTTCTTCAGGTGGCTCAAGAAACACCTTGCAGTCAGTCGATATGATCCAGCCAAGACGAGCTAATCCATCTGGAATTCTGTTGCTTTCTCTAGGTGCGTACTAACATCTAATACACCAATCCCTCTGCATTAAATCCTGCCCATGAAGAGCCATTGGAGAAGCTCCTTGATTCTTTTGTTGGCTTTAGAGTACGTTAATTGCCTCCCTACTATGGGACTCTACAATAATTTGGCGAAAATTCATGTCCCATGCAATCGACAGGGCGTGTAAGTACCCCCACAATTCTGCATCAAGAACTGAACAACACCCAATATTTTGTGAGAATTGTCGTGATCGACCTTCGGGTGGTCCCGAGATCGAGTTCCTACTTGATTTTGATGTGTTGGAACCGCCACTTATTAGTTTGGATTAGGTTGATCGGACACCAAAACTTACTGTTTATCTGATCTACGATTTTCTAGAAAGATTCGGAAGTCGATTACAGTTAAAGAAGGATTAGCACCCTTGTACTGCCCATTCAGTACCAATTTGATTTCTCAGTTGTCTTAATTGCAAAAATTAAAAGTTAAATTAAAATTTAAAAGTTCGATTCGAATTACTTACCTTTGACCAATTAAAATTGTCCTAAAAAACCAAATTAATATTAAATAATAAAATAAAATAAAATAAAAATGAAAAAAATAAAAAATAATAATTTAAAAGAGATATTGAAAAAGGATTAAATTGGAAAACATTTGAAATTAAGGGCATTGAAGTTAATTGGAAGCTGCAAGGAAAACAATAAAACTTAGGGGGTTAATTTGTAAAATTAAAAAAGATAATAAGGGATTAAATCAAATACACTCAAAATTCAAGGGCAAATCCACAACATGTGACTAAAATGAATTACGCATCAAAGGTATAGGGACTGTGGAAATAATTAAAAAAATTAGTATTTATACCAAAGTCCCTCATATAAATACCCCCCTAAAACCCAAATATTATTCATTTCACACCCATTATCCCAAAACCAACTCTCCTCAACCTCTCAAAATTCTCTCCACTCTTCCCAATCGGCCTATGGTCGGCCATCACTCCGACGAAGTCCCGTCGCACTGGCCAACGTTCCGGCCACCGCTCCGGTGGTCAAAAAATCCATGCTAACCTAAAACATTCTCCCCAACCCGATAAACTCAAAATCGAAGCATATTCGTCTTAAAAAGGACCCTAGAAGCGTAGATCTACACTTGGATTCTCGGTTTTACCTTAGTTTGGTAGTGTCTCTTTGCTTTCCTGGCATCTTTTGGCTTATCTCCGGCGACGAAAACGACGAAACCTTTTCTCTTTGTGATTTTTACAATTTTTTGGTTGATTTTCCTTGTATGCTTGCTGTTTGATTTCATTGTTTTTGCTTGGTTTCTTGTATGCTTATTACTCGATGATGCTTCATCCTCTATTGTGTTCACCAGAGGCCTTTTTTGCGCCTTCAAAAAGGGCTACTTCGGGTTGTTGCAACCCCGAAAGGGACGATATTTTCCTCGTTTCGAGTCTTATACTGGAAATCCGACCACTTTTATCCCGCTTTAAGTTCATGCAAAACTTTGTTCCAATTTTTCTATGATTGACGTCGGTGCGTTACCCCCACGCGCCATTTGTGCAGCGCCCTTGCTAAGTTCAAAACCCTAATCTGTTGGGTCAGACAGACAGGGTTATAGGGCTGGATCAGGCCCTCCCCTATCAGGCTTGATTGCTGGGCCAGGTTTGCTAGCTGGGCCAGGCTTGCTAGCTGGGCCAGGCTTCCTTATACCCTTGCTGGATTGGACTATGGTTTGGACCACTTAATTGGACCCTGAAAAAAACAAAAAAAAACATATTAATAAATATAACTTAATAATAATACTATAATATATATATATATAATAAATAACACGTACATTAAAACTATATAATATACATTATATTTTCAAAAACTATAATATGTTTTCAAAAACTATAATATATTTTCAAAAACTATATATATTATATATGTTTTCCTTTTTAAAAAAAACTATTTTCAAAAGCCATATATATTATATATGTTTTCAAAACTATATATATATATATATTTTAAAAATTATATATTTTCAAAAACCATATATTATATACATTTTTTGAAATTATTTTATATATATTATATACTATATAATAATATAAATACTGAAATAAAAGCCCTTGATGTCCCAGATGAAAATGAGTGTCTACAATACTCTCTTTGCACATTTATCGTGTAACGGAAAAATAGGACAAAGATAAAAGGACACAAATTTTCGTTCGGTAAGAAGAGGTTTTAAAAGTGAATTTGCTCCCGTGAGTCTGATATCTTTCTCTGTGATCGAAATTCGACTCAATGTCTGTTGATTCTCTTATAGAATATCTTCCATCGTGGACTTGAAATTCGGCCTGAAAATTGTAATAGAATATGGCTCCCTGCTGTTGAGCTGAATTACGAATGACTCCTTTGTCGTAAAGTTGAGTAGTCTTGAGATGTATTTGAGCATGATATCCTTCCTTCTTCATGAAGTTGAAATCATGGTTGACCCATTCGTTGTGAATTCAAATCAAGGGTGTTTTGAGCATGATATCATTCGTTGTGAAGTTGAAATCTAACTTGATGCCTGGGTTAGGTGGTAATACCGTGGTTGATTTTGTGTCTTAGTCTAATGTCCTTAATCGTGAAGTTCAAATTTGACTAGATGACCTTAATAATTCTTCTTCATTGAGTTAAACTATGTTGTAGATGACTCATTCGCCCTGAAGTTGAGTCCATCTCGAGTATCTTGGGCACGATATCCTTCGTCGTGAAGTTGAAATCGTGGGTGACTCCTTCATTGTGAAGTCGAGTCCAGATTGTATGTTCTTCTGAGAGGGATATCATTTGTTGTGAAGTTGAAATCCAACTTGAATCTTTTTTGAGTTCAATATCCTTTATTGTGAAGTTGAAATCG